TATATATATATAATATTTGAGAGTACTCTCGATTACTGGTGTTATTGTGTTCATGAGTCAACATCAAAGAGGATGTTAAAGACGTACTTAAATGTGTTAACCAGATAATGTTTTGGGCTAAGAAAGCTTGAGGCAAATAATGACATTGACATTGATGATGTAGAGATGCAGTTATTAAAAACCTTAAAAGGGGTCGCTTATTGATATAAAAACATAATAAATCAATCCAAATGTTGGGAACATCAACTCTTTATGGAGAGATCAAAATTATTTTTTTATTTAAAATAAAATGAACAATTGGAAGATATATAATAAAAAGCGTTCGATATAAAATGTAAAATATTATTTTTAAAACATTTTTAATAATTTTATAAAAAAAATCTTGAATTTAGTATTTTTTGAATATAAAATTGTCGTAATATTTTTTGAACGAGCTAGCGAGTTGAGTCGTGGCTTGTTTGAGCTTGTCTTGTTAGCTCATTGAGCTCGGCTCACGAGTTAGTTATTCAGTTGAGTCCTAGCCAGCTGATGAGTTGGCCGGGCTCAATCTTTAAGAGTAACGAATTAAGTTTAAAAATATTTTTAAAATTAATTTTGTATGAAAATTATTATAATATTTTATTTAAACTGATATTAATGCAGTATAAGTGAGTTAGTGTTTTTTTTTTATTTCATATAATAAATAACATTTTAGGATCTCTAAACTTTTAAAAATTAATACTATTAACATTTTTATCATCTTTTATTATTTCTTTGTCAGTTCCGTCTTATAAAATTTTTACCTATTTTCTTATAATATAAATCAGGAAAATTTACTTTTATACAACTCAATTCTTATGTATTTACATATCTAACACCTAAACCTCAATTGTTACATTTATGCCACCTAATCTATGCATGAAAAATGTGTATTTAACTTTCTAAAATGTAAAATACTGATATTTTCCATATGATATGAAAAAATTTTGGGGGTATAGATATAAAAAATTAAAGTTTAGGTGTTAGGTACATATATAAATACATAATTAAGAGTGGGGCGATATGTATGTTAGGAAAAATTATTCCATACGGATCGGACACCGCACGAAGCTTACGTGTCCGATCCGGACCGTAAATCACCTGATCTACGGTCCCGATGTATTTCAGTGGGCCCCACCTAAATTTTTTTAAAAAAAAAACAGAAATAATCCTGACCGTAGATCACCGTGATCTACGGTCAGGATCGGACACCGCATGCAGAGATGTCGGTGATCTACGGTCAGGATCGGACATCGCATGCAGAATGTCCATCCGTATGCAATAATTTTTCCTGTAACTGACGACAGTGGAATGTATAATTTAATAATCAAAAGATCCCCTTACATTACACGTAACTGAAAAAGAAGAAAAAATTACACAATCAATATGTGGCCACATTCCCTAATACATCACTTTATTCTGAACTTTGCCTTCCAATCACAAAAGGCTCTTAAATCATTCCTCCTATAGCACTTGAGGAAAATATTTAATGAACTATATATGTTTCATGAAACTATCATGATAGTGGATGATAGCCACAAAACATGCATGGACACTTATTTAACAGAAAATCCTACAATGATTCGTATAAGCCGTCATGCGATACACAACGGCGTGGCAACATCCAGATTGTCGTCTGGACTTCCCGGTCGGGCCGGCCGGAATCAGTTAGGGCAGAAGGTGACTCTATAGTTGCCACCGGCGGGACAAGTGAAGGTGCTCGTCTGATCATCCTTGGGATAACTATACGCGTCGGGGCAGAGGTTCTTGAAGAACTTAGAATAGTCCGTCGGCTGGCAGCTCCCAGAGTTGCAGCAATACTCATCCGTCTTGAACACGGTGCAGGGGTTATTGCATCCTCCGGGCGCCTTCAGCTCCGCCGGGCACTGCCCGACAATATCCGCGGCGCACCGGATCGCGTGGCAAGACCCGCTCCCCACCGGATCCGGGCTGAATTCAAGCCCCACGTTGAAGCCGTCGACGTTGGATATGTCGAAGAAGTCCAGATTGGCGTATTGGTTGAGGGAGAACTCAGCCAAGGTGTTCGGCGGCGACCCGTAGGCGGTGCAGGCCAGCTTGCCGCCGCAGTCACCGGTTTGGCATTGACCGTTACCGGAGGCGTCGAAGGGGCAGCC